TCAAGTTCTCTTATCTGACCAAGTGAGAGTTATGAGGGGAAATCACAGGTTCATATGCATCCCCTAACAATAAAATTATGGCATACTTCAAGCTTTTATGAGACCTCTGGCTTCTGAGGGACCAGACATCACCTGTGTCCAAGTTTCTAGCGAACATCTTATGAGTTCAGCGCAGGGCCAAATCTTTTGCTCTAGTGTGCTTCAGGTTCCAGCAAGAGAGTGATGTTTGGTTCTAGTGGTATCTGAGGTCAATGATGGTGGGGAGTTCTGATTACTGAAGAGCTAAATGTCATGCAGAACCTGGAGTTTGCTTTTCACAGATTTTTAATAGTAGATGCGTATGAAGTTTGGTATCCCGACTCCAGCAGGTTCATAGAGTCCAGTGATCACTAGATTTCAGTTTGTCTAGTTACCTTAATGCTTAGTGCACAGCCTCAACCTTAGTTATCTTAACACATATCCAAGATGAGATGACTGCAGCAATCCTTTGATAATCAACACCCTCTTCTCCAGTCGTTGCAGCTGAACTTCACAATAAGCTCTAAAGGAAGTGAAATAACCATACTCAATTAAACAAAGTTATAAAACACGAGGAAGCATCATAAACAACCATAACCCGAGACCCATCACCAAGCAGACAGCTCTCTCATGAGGGAATTCAAAATTTCAGAAATGGCTGAAATATCGCAGGAATAATTCGAAGTCTTACTATTAAAAAGAACTAATAACCACACAGTTAAGTAATAGACATGATAATTACAGAAAACTCTGTGGGGTCTTGACAGGATGATCTCCAAGGTGAGTGAAACATTTAATAAATTTAATAATGAGTTTAGTAAAGCTCAAAATATGGAGGGAGGGTAGCAAGGAGTGTAAAACACTTAAAAATCATTATACAAAAATGCTTGAAATGAAGGAGATGGTCAGCCAAATAGAAAACACAGCAGAGATCATCTTTAACATGCAAAACCATGCAGAAGAATGAATTTCATTGACAGAAGATGATGTTGAATAAATAATATAAACATTTTCAAAGAAAAAACTAAGTAGCATGTAGTGGTTGTATCTACACCTGAAACCATGATCAAAGGGTGTGACCACCACTACAAGTTCACTGGCAAGGCCAGATTCAACTACAGTAGTATGAGTGATATTTCCAAGAAGTTCAAGATACATCCAGGAAGCCAACCTAAAAAATCCTGGTTCAGAGAAGGAGAAGAGGAATACATGAATGAAAAAGTCTTACTAATATGGAGAAATTGTAGCAGAACACTTCCCAAATTTAAAGAAAGAAGGAGGCTTCCAAATACAAGATGTATGTAGAACTCCAAACATACATAACCATGGCATATTACAACCAGGGTGCCAAATAAACAAAGTAAAGAAACAATACTAAACAATACCAAAAGAAGCATGAAAAAAAAGAAAAGAACTCACAAAGGCAGAAATATCAGAATACCCTAGAATTTTCATCAGCAACCATGAAGGCCAGAAGGGTATGGAATACAAATTTTCAAGCTCTGAAAGCTAACAACTCTGAGCTAAGAATTGTATAACCTGCTAAGGTATCTGTGGTGACATCCTCCTCCACACCTGTATCACTGACCATGGCCCTTTGGGCGCGGTCACAGGTGCAGACTTGACCAGTGATAAGGATTAGCTTTGGCGCTGGGAGCTCTCTCACTTTCTGATCCTGTCCTGGACAACATCTGGGTGATAGGTTCAGCATCTTTGTATTGGGAACCCGCGGCAGTAATTTGTTTCTTGTGAGAGTGCCTTCTCCCCGAACAAGCTTCACTTCACCTGTACTGAGTCTAGTGAATCTTGATTCCCATGTGATAGGTATCTTCCAATACTGATGTAGAAATAAATGAATTTTAAGACAAACACAAATAAATCACGCGTGAATACTAAGTCAGCCCTGCGAGAATTAATTAGGGGGAACAGTTTACAGGAACAGAGACGAATGGTAACCTGACTGCAGGTAAACTAGATGTGGAGAAGAATTAACAATGCTCCGCACAGCAGCTCATCAAACCCTCAAGACTAATGTGGTAACAAGAAAAGAAATAACCAATATTACAGAAAACAGGGCATCACCCAACAAATTTACAGGAAACAGAAAACCTCATCCTATACTCACCTTCAATGTTAATGGCCTCAAACGACAACAAAAAAGATACAACAAATTGATGAGATAAAAAAAGAAAAAGGTACCACCTATATTCAGTGTTCAAGAAACACAGTTAAACACACTTATTAGGCATACCTAAAATTTCATTATGAAAGAATGAAAAGCAAGCTTCCAAGCAGCCAGGAAACACAAGCAGGCTTCTGTAGGTACCTCATCTCAGTCAAAGTAAACATTTGTCTAAAATGGATGTAATTAAAAGGGGTACTACATATTAGTACTGGAAAGAACTCATCCAGGAGATACAGCAATCACAAATCTTTATGAACAGCTTTGGATCCAACACTTCATAAGACAAACACCAAATGACAAAAGTTCACATAGGTCCTGACACAATTGTAACTCGGGACTTTAATACCCTACTGTCAAATTTAGATAGGTCTTCCCAACTAAAAACAAGTAAAGAAAATTCAGAGCTAAAATGTTCTAAGGATGATCTGGACTCAAAAGAGGTATTCCACCTAACAGATAGGGAGTATACGATTTTCTCATATTGAACCTTCTCAAAATCCGTCACATCATAGGACAAAAATCACCATAAATGCAAAAAATTCCAGATAGTTCCTTTTCTCCTGTGCTGGGTGGTGATAACTTCTGTCTGTTGGGAGCTAAGTCCTCCTCCTGGCTGTGCACCCTCAGGAATAGCCTACTCTGAGAGAAAAGAGGAAGAAGTGTGCAGCTGTTACTGATAATTCCCTCAGTGGACACATTCGAGGACCAGTTATCCCTGAAGTCGAGTTGAGCTCTGCTACTACTGAAGACACAGCCCTGCATTCCACTGCAGCAGACAAGTGAGCAGGTTCCCTGTGTGCTCAGAAACATCCTCAATCAGGCATGTAAGAAAGCCATACATTTTCTTTACACACGAGGTGTCAGACATCTAGTTGTCATCTTCACAGCCTTCAGCATCAGTACCTGAAATTCTATCTAAAGCTTCTGCCCGCTGGGGGAGGGGTTTGCTCAGCTGGAATAGTTGATTTTGATCTGAGATCTCAGTCCTTGATGTTTCAGCCCCAGTGCTGAGCTCATGTAGCTCTGCTGTAGGAAACCTGATCCCAAGGTGTGATACACTACCCTGTGCAGCCCCCAGCTCAGCAGAAGGAGAGAGGGAGAAGCTGGGGATAATCACACAGTCTGTCTTTCACTGCATTTAGGATTTCATGTCTCATTTATTTCTGTGCATAGTTTTTTTCTAAAGGTAATGGTTTTTAGTCAAATTGGTAATACCAAGCCTCATATATGAACTTTGAGACTTGGGAAAAAATATCAGAAGAGCATATGGTAAATCCAGGTCATCCCTGTTCACACTCAGGGTCATCAAGTAGAGAAAATGAGACATCCTCACTCCTACATCACATCTCTGTCCCTCGCACATGAGCTCTGACACTGTTTCACATGATATCTGATATACGGGCTGCCTCATCTGTTCACAGCTCTCTGGAGCTCAGCTGGGATCAGCTTCATCATGGTCCTTTCTTGTGTTTAAAGGATTAGAGTTCTTCAGTCTGGTGTGATGTCCCAGGTGTATGTACCGCACCCCTCCTGGTGTTCAGATTTACTCCCAGAACATTTCATTACTGGTTAAGAACATACTCAAAGTCAGCTATGTAGAATTTCATCTTACTATGGAGACTCATGATATTAATGGTGATTTCTTATAAGGGATTAGCTTTCTTTCTAGAACCAGTTTTCTTTCTGGTATGCTAGTGAAGGACTCCTCCAATGTATTTCTAGATAGAAATGATTGGACCAATGTGTAATTAGTTAATGAAACAAGAGAGGACATGAAGAGGGACAGAGACTTATAGGTAAGTCCCAAGAGGAAACAGTGGGGCACACTGGGTATAGATATTATCATACTATGTTTTATACATGGATTAACTTTAAAAAATATAAAATAAGTTATGCAAAAATATCAATTTTACATAGTTTTAGAATTTTCATGCTCATGTATTTTGCAATCTGTGTTATTTCTTCCCACAATGTCTTCCCTTCATTTTCTCTCCCCTCCTACTTTACCTTTATTCTATTAGACAACTCACTTATACTTCATCATGTATTTTTATACATAGCTGTATGTAAGCATGCGATATCTAAAAAATACTGATGACAGTCTCATTTAATGTCTCATTTCTAAGATCACCTTAATTAATGCATTTATCTCTAGTTTCATCCTAAATGATGTAAGTTTCATATTCCTTGTAGATGTATAAATTCTATTGAGTTGTTTATATAAACATTTCTTCTTGGTGAGATACTCTGTTGATAGATACATAGCTTATTTCCATAATTTTGTTATTGTTATATTGCTTCAGTAAACAAGCCGTTTACTTGATTTCTGAAGTATATTTGCTTTTGTTCATTTGGGAGAGTTTTTCAGTATACAATATGGTGGACAGGCAAATAATCATTGCATACATCTGAAAGGAGGCTGTAAATTTAGTACTCATTAGGATTTAGATTTCCCATCACTGTCACCATCCTCACAGCCACTGTAAATCAATCTGATAACCTTGTCCCAGGTGGAGCCTCTGTCTCACGCCTGAAATTCTTTGAGACCTGAAGTTGTGATGTTATTTCCTCAGCATCACTGGAGAGCCCTGGGAGGATGTTATACATATTCTCAGCATCACACTGCCTGAGACAGGTGTCCTCTATCTTCTGCTTCAGCGGACTAGGTCCTAATCTAAGAAGCTTCCTGCTCATGAATATGTAAATCGTGTGAGTCTATGGTGGTAAATACAGGTATGTCCACACTCAAAACAACATATGATCAGTGTCGCCTCCACAGTCACTGAGCTCACAGCTTCTCACCATGGGATGGAGCTGGATCATCCTCTTCCTGATGACAGCAACTACAGGTAAGGGACTCAACGTTCCAGACTTTCGGGTGGTTCATCCACTCAGGTGACAGTGACACCCACTCTGTTTTTCTCTCCATAGGTGTCCACTCCCAGATACAGCTGCAGCAGTCTGGGGCTGAGCTGGTGAGGCCTGGAGCCTCAGTGAAACTGTCCTTCACTGGCTACAGCTTCACTGGCTACTATATGCACTGGGTGAAGCAGAGGCCTGGGCAGGGCCTGGAGTGGATTGGAAGAATTGATCCATCAGATGATGAAACTAAATATGCACAGAAGTTCCAGGGCAAGGCCACACTAACTGCAGACAAATCCTCCAGCACAGCCTATATGGAGCTAAGCAGTCTGACATCTGAGGATTCTGCAGTCTATTACTGTGCAAGACACACAGTGTTGCAACCACATCCTGAGTGTGTTGGAAACCCTGCAGGAGGAGGAAACTGCCCTGGGACTGAGATGATAGAGAGGAACACCCTCGAGATTTGCCAACAAATAATCACACTGAGTGTCCCTTTGTTACTTCCCAGAGTTAGAGAGATTAGTCAAATTTTCAAAAGGACTGCAGCGAATAAGTTAGGATGATTTCCATTGTCCTTAGAATACACCATACCTTGATCAGCTGTTTAACAATGACTTCATCCACGGATATTGTTCTTTTTTTAAAAAAGCAAATATAGGACAAACTGTAGCAATACATCATGATGCTCACAGCTCTTACATAGAAGGGTCTGCTATTGTTTCTGGAATAGCTGCAAATAGGCTATAAATTAGATTATTCGCATAACAGTCAAATCAATAGAATGTGAGCTAATTAAAGCCTGTTTTATATTCCAATTTTGTTTGCCTGAAGCAAGCAAAGGAAATTTGAGGGAAGGGGACCCCTTTGATTTGGGGATAGTTTCTACATGGACATAATGATAAGAGAGCCTCCAGACCCTGTAGAATCTTCATGACGGCACGTAAGGCAGGGAAAAAGCTTAGGACATATTGTAAGAGTGGATTAACATCCATTGTTAACAAGGAAGAATAGATAAGAAGCAGCAGTGAGGGAGAGATGTGAGGAGGAGAGGGGGAGAGAAAGACATAGACAGAGAAACAGAGAGACAGAGACACACACAGAGACAGTGAGTCAGAGACACACACATAGAGCATAAAGATGAGTGGATATGCATGGGGAATATCTGGCAATAATTTGAGGGATGATATGATAAATTGTATTGCATGAAACAAGAGTAAATGCTATAAATTTCCCTGTGGTTTTATTTAAATAAAAATTTTCATGCACAAATATTAAAGAACAAAAAGGAACATGAACTGAATCATAAGCCACTGCTAACATCCTCTGTCACTCCTTTCCTCACTCGAAAGGGTCACACACTGCTCTGCTCAGACTTTTTTCTCTTGGTCATGTCCGTCCCCAGTGAAAAATATCTCTCTTAGACTAAAACATAGTCTCATTTTTCTAGGGGACCAGTGACAGAATTTCCATAACAAATAAAAGAGAGAGAAAAAACAAACGAAAAGCTGCTAGTCTATGAAGCTGGAATCTTTCCATTTTGTTTGATTTGGAGTAAGAGATAAACATTCAGAAATGAAAATATATTTTTGTTATCCCTGAATATAGAGCACAGTCCTGGATCATCAGGTGTCTTGGCTGAGAACAAGTTCCTTTGTATAGAACAGCTGGGCAACTAGGACTCTGAAATCATTCTGGGGAAATATCAGCTGAAATTTCCCTTAGAGCTTTGCTTTTAATCGCTCCTCTGTTAGCTGAAAATAAAGTGTGGATATTGCTTTTTATGTACTTCTTCCTGCAGTTATTGAATGAATGTAATATTTTATATACACTCAGGTTCTAAGATGTGTGATGAAGGCAATCCAAACTTACGTCTTATATATTGCAGTTTATATTTTCCCTATCTGTTGCAAGTAAAATTCCTAGATCATAACATGCAAGGCTGTGCGTGAGTATCGTCCAGCAAGTCTTGTGAGAAGAAACCTCCTGAGATGACACCATCTAACTGTAAAGAGGTTGTAGTAATGAACAAAGTCCATGTGGCAGAGTCTGACATCCACATTCTAGACTTGCATGAATCCTATTGATCAGCCTTATCCAGGATCAGAAGCATCTTTCTTAACAGATCATCCTGATGAAGATGGAGCACAGACCAGCAGGGGATGACCACACCTCAGCCATTCAGGTTCCTAAGGAACAGGTGCAAAGACAGAATAGCAAGGTAGGTCACCACATCGTTCTGGATTTTCTTCCTTTAGCTTGCTCACATATCACCCTGATAAATGAGTGAAACCTGTCAGAGGATTGATTTGGTCATCTAAGGACTCAAAGCAGAAGTGACTTCAGACCATCAGCTCACTGTATTTATCTGCTTTAAATGACATCACTTTCCTGCAGGTGCCACAGAAACAATCATGCCATAGTCCACAAGAACTCTTAGCCATAACAAAGTTTCTCTAATACTTGAATTAATTAGTCAATTAAACAATTACTTCCCAACTCTCCTTTCTAATACAGGGATGACTATTACAGGGTGTCTTTTGAGACATATGCCACAGCCACCAAGAAATTTCTATATCACCAGGCAGACTAGAGAGACAGGACTACATAAAACCACATCAGTACAGACCAGGTAACAGATTTCCCTCTGTTTCCAGAGACTAGGAAAATTAATGTCACAGATACCAAAAATGTTAACTAACACCACCCAAACACAAATATTTGGCATATATATATATATATATATATATATATATATATATATACGTTTTGTGATTACTTTAGTATTTCACAAGGAAAAGCCTTTGTAATATTAATGATTATTTAATATGTATATATATTATACACTTCTATCTATCTGTATTTATTCATTGCATAATGAGGATAAAATTTGGGACCTTGTGCATGTTAAACTTTCCCACCATGCTGTCCTGCAGCCCAGTTTCAGTACTTTAATTTCATGTATATTTCACTGATTCATTCATCTTTACATAAGTTCCCATGGAATTATGAAAATGTATTTCTTAGTTTTTAAATTTCGTGTAAAAAATTTAAAAACATACATTAAGGATGTTGAATATTTTTATAAACTAATAATTAATAATAATTTATTAAAATCAGGGTCTTCACTACTTCCTTGTCCTTCAGGCATTTCAACCATTAGCTGCTGCCTCTAAGGTCCACACACACCTGAGAACAAGATATATCAGGAAGATATGCAAATATTCCCTCCCTCTGCCATGAAAACCAGGCCTGCCATGACTCCACAGGTCAGGCAGATGACTCTTGCCCTGTCATTCCATCCAGTGACAAGCACTGAAAACATGACAATTGACATGGGGTTGGGGCTGCATTGGGTTTTCTTTGTTGCTCTTTTAAAAGGTAGATGGCAAGGGATACTGAGTGAGTGAGTGGACAAGAATGGGAGAGCCAGTAGACACGCGTGACAATTTCTTGATAAATATCCTCTCTGTTTGCAGGTGTCCAGTGTGAGGTACAGCTGGTGGAGACTGGAGGAGGCTTAGGGCAGCCTGGAAAGTCCCTGAAACTCTCCTGTGCAGCCTCTGGATTCACCTTCAGTGATGCTGCAATGCACCTGGGTCCGCCAGGCTCCAGGGAAGGGGCTGGAGTGGATTGCTGTCATAAGTACTAAACCCGATAATTATGCAACCTATTACGCGGATTCGGTGAAAGGCAGATTCACCATCTCCAGAGATGATTCTCAAAGCATGGTCTACCTGCAAATGAACAACCTGAGAACTGAGGACACGGCCACGTATTACTGTACTAAGGACACAGTGAGGATTCTTCAGTGTGAGCCCAGACAAAAACCTCCCTACCAGGTTTACAAAGCCAGCAAGGGGCGCTCAGCACACTTAAAGCCCATGTTCTGACATAACTGATTATATTTTCCTGTTTTATCTGGGTGTGATCTTCATTTGCCTGTTTTCTGGAGGATCCTTTTGGCAATTATAGACCCTAGGAATTGATTATGCTTTTGAAAATGTTGAGTTCTGTGTTGACAAGCATTCTTATAACAAATATTTAATATTCCTACTTGAACAAAATGCAGATTGATTCTCTGTGTTCCCCAGTATTAGCTGGTAGGGAGGTTTTTGTCGACTTTTCCCTCATACTGAGGTTGGGGCAGATCCTAAACTGGAGCAGTGTTAGTAATCAGAGGGAACCATGTGGAAGGGGAGACAGGCTCAGTCACAGTAAGCACCTTGAGTTGTCCAAACCATTCTCCAGTTCTGGAGGGCTGTGCACATAAATCTAAGAAGTGATTGAGTTGTTATTTTAATTAAAATATTTTCATTACAGCATTCATCATGATGACTTCTGCCCTGTATTGAATTAGATAATTCTAGTTCTGACCTCTGTGCACTAACTCAGAGCTCAGGCGATCATCTGGTGCTAAGGGATGGCTGCTGTATGGTCTGGAGAGTGTGTCCTTCCTGTGAGCTTCTACTGTGGATCTCAGATCCTGGTCTGGTTGCTCTTGGTTATGAATCCATTCTCACTATATTCAGAAGTTTCCTGGTGAATCTGCCTCCAAAGCTCAAAGAGTGAGCACTTTTAAATTGCCAACAAGGATCCAAATGACCCTATGTTAGTGATAATCTGAGTGTATGTTTCTAAGAATATTGGAAGCATATTGTGTAGAAGACATTTTGATCATGTGGAAATTCTGAAAGCCACTTGAAAATGAAAAGTTAGTTTTCTTCAAGGGAGGGTCACTGGCAAAAGAGACCACTGTCTTGTATAGTTCCATGGTGAGCTATATGTGGCCTATACAAAATCAACTCGGTGGCATCTTTGGTGGTTCATTGCCTTGTAGTGTTAAATGAGGGCTTTGCTATTGTTTTTCATTTGTTTTACCATACAGGTTCCACGTTTGTGTATTACGGCTTCCACTTTTCAGTTTTCATCTGATTCATGTGTGTTTGAAAAAAAAAACTATCACAACAAGAGAAGTAAATATAACGAAAGGCCTGAAAGAAATAATTTCTAAATATAATACCTGTAGGACAGCTAATTTAGTCTGCTATTTACATTTCACATTTTTTTCTTTTTTACATCCCTGTATTTACTTGAAGATCTGATTCAGTTTACTGACAGAATTGAAAGAGACTCTAAAATTTTACAGCTAATCCTTTAACCCATGTTCAAAGCCTGCCCATTCCCGATTCCCTGAGTGCACCTTAAGCCTTTCACAGAGCATACACCTGTACTGACAACCATCATGTCTCTTCATTCATGGGCTCCATGGTGTTCATCTGCTACTGTAGAGCACTTGATTTTCCTTAACTGAAGAAACATAAACAGGTTGAACCTGGCACAAGGGATTCCTCTTAGATTAATATATGTGAGATGTCTCTTTACTCAACTACAGTTACCCAAGTTTCTCTAGCAGACAATCCCTCCTCCAACAAATATGAATTTGTGCGACTAATATTGATGGCATCATACTAGGAATGACTTCCGGTGAGTGTGGTTTCTCTTGACCAATTATGTGAAAGAACATTTACAATCCTATGCCTAATTCCAAATGCTTCTTGAAATAGTCTATGTCAGTGCAGTGGTGATACTAGACATCATAGAAAAACCAGGAGACTCCGGATTTTGTCCATTCCCACCTGTAATTATGGGGCACCCAAAATGGAAATATGCTCCTAATCTCCCGGGGAAATTGAAGACTGGTACCAGCAATCTTCTCAGATAAGCTTGCAGGAGTGTGGATAGAAGAAGCGATTGTTGGGTCAATTCATGAGTCTGGTGATAGGTTCTCAGTATCAGTGTCTGTTTGCCATTCATGAGTCACACATGGGTCAACTATATATTGACATGTCCAAATATAAATGCATTCTGTGCATGCTTCTTATGAGAACATGTGTTGATGAGTTTCACCAAGACAGATTGTAAGTTACACTATCAGAAATGATTTTGTCATTGTCAAAATATTTAGATCCTTTGTTATGGCCAGGAAAAATGCGAAACATGTCACTGTTTGTGCCTGACAGGGACCAATTGTCCTTGTCCTTAGGTACAAGCAGAGATCAAAACTTGGCCTGGTGAAATCCAAAGATCTGCTCCTTACCTGCACTGTCCCTGCTTACTCCATCACACTGTGATACATACTGGTGTTGCGTTTGTCCTAAAAAAGAGGCTGTGGTCCTTGGAGAATGAGGTTATCATGGAGTCACAGAAAACAGGACATTCTTCTTCAGGTTTATCCTCACCTGCAGAAATCCATCTGAGGAAAAGTTGTCCTCAAAACAGACTTATGTGTTAGAAGTGACAGCCACATATTCTGTGATGTCCATATCGAGGGACACGTCAGTCAGGCAAGCAGCACTCGAGCTGTAGGCTCAGGAAGACCATTAGAGCTCATCTCTACAGGAGTCCCACAGCAGACTGAAACTCAGGATCAGACCAGGAGTAAGTTCAGAGAATGCTAAAGCAGTTGTTTCCTTTGGGACCTTGAGCTTCCCTAAAATATAACAGTTTCCCTTAAAAAACCCCAAAACTCTATATGTTGTCCTATCAAAATAGATGTGTCTGTTTTATTTATAATTACACATACTCATTTTTACCCATGCACTTTGACACTTATATGAGCACAAATAACCTTGCTATTGTCACCAGGGTTAGACACAGAGGAATCCTGAGGGCACCTGGTGATTTCATTCTGATGAGAGGCGGCCCATCAATGGGATTCTATGTTTAATCTTTTGGATTCAGACAGGAGCCCAAAGGCAATCAAGGCTCAGGGACTAAAATTACACAAATTTCATAACTGACATGGCTCAGTCTATATTGGTGTGTACCCCAATCCCAGAGATGATCTGTACTTTTCCTCTGACAAAAAATTTCTCTTTTTCTTCACCTTTAATTAATTGAAATATACAACTAGATGTTGTTATTTTCCCATAGAATTCTGAGACCTCCTTTTAACTCAAACTCAGCAGAAAGCATAAAGCTGTCACGAGAAGTCCTTCAGTGTGTTAACAGATACATTCAATGACCAGTTCTCCCTATGAGTGGGATCTGCTACCACTGAAGTGAGCCCTGCATCACATTACAGCAAAGACAGAGAGCAGGTTTCCTGTGTACTCAGAAACAACCTCATTTTGAGGATGCTCAGGACCAGCAGAGGGAACTGAAGAACCAACAAAGACAATATAGTAAGTGAGACAAACATCTGGAGAGTGAGGGGGTCCTCTGAGACCCTAAGGTTTCCTGTCCTGACCTCAAATAACTGCTGAGAACATGCAATACACTTGGTGTAGCTACTGTGAGACTACTTCAGACTCAGTATAATAAAAGTTCTTTGTTCAGTATATTGCACATATATGTTTTTATCATCAGATGAGAACCTTATAGGAAGGACAAACATTCATTTTTCGTACATACAAGAAGTCAAAAATTTGCAAATAGACATCGTCATCAAAGCCAATATTAGCAGCATCAAATTTTATCTGTAACTTCTACTCTCCCCTAGGGGAGGCGTTTCTCAATTGAAATATTGAACAGTGTCCTGAGATCTCAGTCATTGAAGTTCCAGCCACAGTGCTGAGTCCTTGTAGCTCTGCTCTTGGAGACCTGGTCCCATGATGTGATACACTGCCCTTTTCAACCTTCTGGTCAGAGAGAAGAAGAAAATTGGGATAATCACACAATCTGTCCTTTTCTGAATTTAGGATTTCATGTATCATTTTTCTCCGCATATTTTTCTAAAAGATAAGGTATTTAGCTGAATTGGTAATACATAACCTAATATGTCGTTTTTGAGACTTTGGAAGAGTTTAGACGAAAGTACCTTAAATCTAGACTGTCCTCATTCTCACTCACGACACCTAAGAGAGATGAGAGATCCACATAACTATGCCACTGCACTGTCCCTCACACGTGAGTTCTGACAATGTTTCCTATGATATCCTGATGCATGGGCCCCCTCCATCTATTTCCCATGCCCTGGAACTCAGCCGAGATCAGCTTCATCATGGTCCTTTCTAGTATATAAAGGATGAGTGTACTTCAAACATCGGGATGTCCTGAGTGTATATCCTGCACCTGTTATGGTATTCAGATATACTCCCAGAACATTTCATTGTTGGTTAAGGACCAACTCCAGTTTTACCTGTGTAGAACTTCATCTTACTATGGAGATTCTTGACTTTAATAGTGATTTTTCATAAGGGATTCACTTTCTTTGAAGAACCAGTTTTCTTTCTGGTATACTATTGAAAGACTCCATCTATGTGTATATAGATATAATTGATTGGATTCATTGAGCTATTAGTTAAGGAAACAAGAGAGGACACAAAGATTGACAGAGACTACTGGAAAGTCCCAAGAGGAACCAGTGGGGGCATAATGGGTACAGATACGCTCATACTATATTTTGTACATGGATCAAATTTCAAAAAATATAAAAATTTTACCAATTTTACAGTTATAGAATTTTCATACACATGTATTTCATACAGTTGTTTCCCCCATAATTTCTACTCTCATTTTCCCCTCCTCCTTTACTTTTATCCTAATAGACAATTTAACTTGCACTTCATCATATATTTTTATTCATAGTTGTATATAAGGATGCAACATCTAAGAACTACTAAGGAGAGTCTCATTTAATGTCTGATTTCTAAGATGGTCATAATTAACAGATTTTTCTCTAGCTGCATCCATTTTTCCATAACTAACATAATTTCCAAATTCCCTGTAGATGAAAAATTTCCATTGTGTTGATAATAAAAATGTGTCTTCTTGATGAGATCCTCTTTTGAGAGATACATAATTTAGTTATTTTGACATTGCTGCAATAAGCACTGTTGTGCAAATATTCTGACGTATATATGCTTTGGTTCATTTGAGATAGTTTTGTAGTATATTGTTTGTTGGAAAGGCAAATATTAACTGCATATATCAGAAAGGAGGTTGTAAAGTTCAAACTCAGCAGGTTTCAAATTTCCCATCACTGTCATCATAATCACAGTCACAATCTGTAAATCAGTCTGATAACCTTGTTCCAAGTGGATCCACTGTATCAGGTCTGATATCTCTTGAGAGTTAGGTCCTGATGTTACTTCCTCATCATCTGTAGAGGAGACAGTGAAGAAGGATACTATATATATATATATCTTTAGAGAGAAGTAGGACTGGGACCTCAGGATCCTGCTGCTTAATCCAGGTCTCCCCTAACTTGTTCTCCAGTAGGACCAGCTCCTTATTAAATATTACCATTTTCATGAATATGCAAATCACATGAGTCTATGGTGGTAAATACAGAGATGTCCACATCACCCCCAACATATGATCCGTGTCCTCTCCACAGATACTGAACACACAGGTCCTCACCATGGGATGGACCTGGATCATCCTCTTCCTTGTGTCAGTAACTACAGGTAAGTTGATCCAAGTTCCAAACCTGGAGAATAAACTGAGTGTTATGTGACAATGACCCCTACTCTGTATTTTTCTCTACAGGTGTTCAATCACAGGTCCAGCTGCAGCAGTCTGGGCCTGAGATTGGGAGACCTGGTTCCTCAGTGAAGTTGTCATGCAAGGCTTCAGGCTACACTTTCAGTAGATACAATATGAACTGTGTGAGACAGTGGCCAGGACAAGGCCTGGAGTGGATTGGATGGATTGGTACTACAAGTGGAAATACTAAATATGCACAAAAGTTCCAGGGCAAGACCACACTGACTAGAGACATATCCTCCAGCACGGCATACATGGAGCTCAGCAGCCTGACATCTGAGGACTCTGCCATCTATTTCTGTGCAAGAGACACAGTCGTGCAACCACATCCTCAGTGTGTAAGAAACCCTGGAGGAGCAGGAAGCATCACAAGAATGGAGATGACCGAGAAGATCAGTCTGGGGACTTGCTCAGAAATAATCATTCTAGAGTTCCCTTCTCTGCCTCCTAGTCAAAGACCTATATTGCTTAAATCAACTTTGCAAAACACATGTGAGTAAAAAGAGGTTTTGACATAGGATGCCTCTAGTGGACTCCATATCATGAGAAAGTTTTGGCCAGTGACTGCCTGAATTGACACTGTTCTTTAATAAAAAAATAAAAAGGAAAAACTGTGATGATGAATTATGATAAAAATACAAGAACTGTGAATAACGTATAATGCACATTTGACCTGTGCAATCGAAATCACCAACATCTGACAAATAAAAGCTCCTTTCACAGTGTTAACTCTTAAGGGACCTCAATGTGGTTTTTTGGCCATGTGGTGCAGCAAACGTTCCCATATCATAAAATAAAAGACCTATTTATATCAGAATTCACTGCCTTTTTAGTATGATTTTCATAAATTGGACAAATGCATTATTACATTACTTTCAAGATCACATTTATCAACACATTTATGATATATATATCATATATATATGGAAATTGAGGTACATTCTGAAATATACCTTAGTCACTGTTGTTCTAGTGTCACATTTACTGCCTTCCCTGTCCATGTACCCAACTCTACAGTATCAAGTCTTTATTTAAAATGGACCAACATGATAGAGGATCAAGTCTTTGGTAACCTGTTGGTCATCCTGATGATATAGTGTATCTGATTTTAAATAAATTGGTCAGTTACAACCAACATGTCGACAAATGGTACTTGGTAGTTTCAAGTGTTTGAGGGAATGTGATTTCTCATAGCACAGAATATTAATTCTGCATGTCCCTGCAGTGTACATCCCCCACGACCAGTATGAATACAATGTGCTTAACATAGGTGAAATCTATGCTGAATGCATTGTGGCTGGCATGCATCCCCTACGCCAATTATGTTAGATATTTTCGCAAACCCATGCTGAATATAAATACTGCTTGACACAACAATCACTGTATAAAACACTATCCTGTCTTCCTCCAACTCAAGAGAAGGGACTGAGCAGAAGTTTTGAGATTCTTCCCCTATTGGAACTTGAATGAATGGGATTCTCTGATGTACCAGGCAGGAATCTGTTAGTGGTTATAAAAACTTGACTTCAGGACTTATCTCCTATCTTCTGGAGAAATCAATTTGAATCCAAAACACCTTACACTGCAAAGTTTCCTGCTTTGTACAGACACTTGGGAATCAGTGTGGCTGTTCCACAGGAGGCTGGGAGGAGATCTATCCCACCATCCAAAAACACCACAACTGTGCTTATATGCAAAGGGCTCTACTTCTGACTGGAGATACTGACTTAGCCATGGTCATTTCTGTCCTATTCATAATACCAGAATTAGAAACTTCATAGATGTCTGTCAGTAGAAAATATGTGAATAAAATACGGTATAATAACTGTAAACCCTTAGATCCATAGTCATGACATGCCTATAGGACAGTGTGATGCAATCGTGACCAAAAGATTGAAGAATGAATCACCCAATCTCATATTAGATTTTAGACTCACTTCATGTGACAGAATGAATCTTAACATCATGTTGGGCAAGAACCTAAGAATAGACTGGAGAAATCTACAGTAACGGCACACAGGCAATATACTTGATGCAGTAGAATCTAAAACATGTGTTATGAATCTACCAATATCAGATTATGGTTAAAGAATGGAATGCTATGGTTATGAGATGGAATCAATTATGACACTGTGTTGGCCAAGAAGCTAAGATTAGGTAGTTGTAACATGGGAAAATATTCCTGTTATCCTTAATGAACTATCAATAAAACAATTCCAAGTAATTCTGCTATATTCATACAACATTGTCTTGTTCAGTCATTATTAGAGAACATCCTGCAATAGTGGAGAATGCAGAGACAAGCTGGACAATGTGCCAAAAGTGAGTGACCTTAGAACATTCAATGTAATGTCTCCTTCAAATCTGTCTCCACAGAGTTTAGGGAACAATCAAAGGAGGATGCTCACAGATTCTAAATTCCATAGGGATTGGAGGACACCAAGGAGAACCAGCTTTTCAAATACAACAGGATTGATGCAGACATGAATTCCCTGATGTTGTAAGTTAAGAAGAGAGGCACCGGTTGGAAAGATGCCATGCCACAGAGATCAAGGAGAGTTTTTTAATTAGAGAAAGAAATCATAAAATGGGAGAATAGAAATGGAGAGACAATCTCCAGAGACAGGAGCAGCAGGAGACAGGAGAAGGAAAGAGGGGTAGAGGAAGGAAGGAGGCAGAGAGAGGTAAAGAGTGGAACAGATAGAGGGAGATAGAGAAAGATAGAGATAAGGATTGGAGGTAGGCAGTGTCCCTTTATAAGGGAACATAGTGAATATACACAGATAGTGCTCTTAGTCCTGCAACTGAGGGAATTTTCTGTCAGTTCCCTAAGTACAGGAAAGTACAGATTCTCACATACTAACAGCTGAGAGTCTATGGCAGCGTTACAGGGTCTTCACAGGTATAAACCAGGTGAAGGTGTGATGCTCACAGGGGAAGGCGACAGAAGCTATCAACAATTGATAACTTCTTTAATAAGAATACATATTTTCTGATGTTGTCTCACTGGGCATACAAACTACTCATAAGGAAGCTCTCATGCCTATAAGTAGATGGCCAAAAGAAAATTAACTCAGTGATATTTTGCATATACTTTGTCTCATAATGTTTGTAAGTACATATTTTCCTCCTTCTACTTCTACTTTTTTGATTCTCAAATGGGCAAATTATAAAGCAAGAAAGATGCATGTGTACTCAATCATAAATGTGTTGTCTTAAGCAAAGTTTTTCCTGAGGTCTCAGGGACAAATGCAGCAGAATAGAAAGAAAGATTTAAGACCCACAGATATTAAATGAGTCCAAGGATACAGTCTCTTTCAGACACAATAAGACTGTCGCACACATGAAATCACTACACTGTGAATGTTAATACAGGGCTTGCACAGGTTCAATCCAAATTGGGATTCGAATGCTGTGAATGGGTACTGGACATGTGCACTCAATCCTAAATGAGAAACTATCTACAACTGATACTTACATACAAAGTAAAAAAGTAATGTGCTTCAGTAGAATGTCATTGACTGTGATAAACACACTTCACAGCAGGTCTTATGCCTAAGATGCAAACAAAACAAGAAAAACTGTTTTTGTATGAAGTTTTTCATTTCTGATTTTGCTTTGGGTGCTTGTGGATGTTTGTATGTGTGTGTGTGTGTGTGTGTGTGTGTGAGAGAGAGAGAGAGAGAGAGAGAGAGAGAGAGAGAGAGAGAGAGAGAGAGAGAGAGAGAGAGAGAGAGAGGGAGAGAATTTTTCTTGTGGTATTTTCTTGTGAGCGGATCAAGGATTACTGGGGAAAAGGTAACTTATGATTAGAATATGTTGCTTAAAAACTAATTTTTCACTAAGAAAATTTAGAATCCCCCTTCCAAAATCACTTATTGATTGTTATTTGATAAATTATGACAGAGAGGTTAGACATAATATGTTAATTTATGTATCTGTGATGTGCACTCTAAACAACCTGTTTAGAGTGTTACCAACAATTTCTGGTCAGGTGCCAACTGCACTATTGATAATTTCTGTGTAAACTGCTCAGTTGTTTTCTCAGAACATGTGCAGGATCATCAGAGATATGTGCTTATTTTCACACTTACAGAAACATGGACACAGTCAGACAGGTCTCTCTTATAGCAAAGCTGGTATTTCAGTTAACATCAGCTTATTCATTGTTATCCTATATTGCATCATCAAGAAATGATTCATTGTCCATATCTCACTTGTAATTCTGGTGTCAGTTTCCAGACATCATCAAGAATGTATTCATGGCCCATGTATCTGCTGTAATTCTGATGTCATTTCCAAGGTAATTCTCTAAGATTTGGAGTCTTCCTAAAGGTGGTCAAGTTTCACTTTCTCTAAGTAGAGCTGAGTCTCATTTTCCATTCTAGTATACACAGGCCTGCTTCAGTACTAACTTCAAATTTTTTTTAGCTTCTTAGAGTCACCCAGGGCCTCAGATGCATCAATAGTTACTCATTTATATTTTTGAGTCATTTTCCTATACAGGCTGTATTGTGAATTCTCAGCTCTCTTTAGTTAGAATCAAGAGCAGGAGCCACTTTCAGCATGATGGCAAGAAACATCATGCCCACAAAAACATATACAATGTGCAACATATATTTTACATGTGAGCTTGACTTCAACAACCCTTCCATGTAACAAGCCCTGAGTACATGAGGTAGTCAAAGCACTCACATATAGAAATGGAATATTGAGTACCATGTGACACTTGAAACTTTTCATTGCAGGAGAATTTGTATATGATTGAAATGCATTTGACTCATGGTCACACTGCTTATATCCAGACACATCCATCTACACTTCAATGTACAGCATATTTTAGGGGTTATTAAGTGTGCTGACAAGTGACACATATGCATGCATATGGACAAACATATGAGTTATACATATAGTGGCACTGGATCCACTAAATCTTTGGAGCTGGTAGTGAATTATCCAACTTACTGCTGTCATTCTCTAAGGTTACAGCAAGGGCAGTCAAGTCTGAAAATCAGTTGCCATGAGTTTACATGACTAGGAGGATGCTGAGCTTTGGGAAATTAGATCCAGAGAGAACACATTCATCATTTCCTCCCAGAAAGTTTGAAGAAAAATGAAAGAACTATCCCTTCTAAGTCTTTACATAGAAATGTACAGCCAACCCATGATACAGATGCTCAGTTAGCACACAGATTGAACCCCCATCCAAACTTCCCTAAATTTTTGTCACTTCTCAAATTTGAAAATACTTTCTAGAGTTGGGAACAGATCTGCATGTACCAAATTTATTCATATCCCAGGTGTTGTTAGTTTTCTGTACCAAGTGCAGGTGGAGGTTAGGAAATTGCTTTATAAAGCAGTTGTGAGTTCTGTCCATCATGTGTGCTTCTCTGGTTACTCCATTAATCACAAGTGGTCATGGCAAAAGCTACATCTAACAGACCCTAGAGAAAGGACTAAGTTCATGGAGAAAGACTTTGAGGCACAGCTCCTCATCCATACTTGAAATCTCTGTTCAGCATCACCAGGTCCATTACCAAGAACATGAGTAAGAGTCATAGTGAGGGTCTGTGTATGAGAACTTACACAGGCCTGTTCTCAGAAGCAGCAGGGGGCACTGTGGATCCATCAATCTCTAAGAAGTAAAGAACCACAGAAGCAGGTAATGATGCTGTGCAATCAGGAGATTTAAACAAACTCTGTGCATTTCATTGCCAGTGTCAATATATTCAGAGCCCAAGGTGTAGTTGACATCAGAGATCTCCATGCTAGAACATGGGAGATATTATTTGTTAAATAAAATCCATAATGAGGTCAACAAAATTTAGAATGGATTCACACAGTTGCTGGATAAGACAATAATTCATGAAAGAATTATCAGGAAATGTTAAGGGTATTTGAGCATCAGGACCCTGAGCAACATTTTGGGAAAAGTGTCCCAATTAATGCAAGAGGTGTGCATATTTCTGCTGATCACTGCTGTGGAATGGACAGCAGCATCCAAAGCTCTGTCCCAGTATGGTCAAAACAAGTCCTCTGCATCACAAATGTGTTTAACCATAAGGAGGTTCAGATGACCACTGAACCCTTGAAGTATAGTTCACTTTAATGAACATGGATGTGGTGACTGGATTCTCACTGGGATGGAAGAGCTCTGTCCACACAGGTTCTGGAGTGAAAGAGGGAGAAAGGGCAAAAAGGTCGAAATCCATGTGTGATATAATCAAAGAAACTCTTGCTACTTTCATATTCATTTCACACGATGTGCACATACAATAACTGTAATATTACATTAATTAAGGAATTAAGCTAATAGTATCTATTTATATTCTCCAAGGTCTGAGAATTTTGTGAATTTTAAGAGGAGAATGTCTCCATTGTATTTAACTAGGTAAGCACTCTTGTCCATTTCAGCCTATGATAGTCATCAGAATCCCATGGACTGGAGTATGAAATGCAGCTTTATAGAAAGAGATTGTGAAATGTCCAGATAATACCACCCAATATTGTATGGATGAGCCTTTCTCTGTAATGAGAAGAGGTGAACTTCTTGTACCAGACTTTAAACATAAACTAAATGCGTGTTTGGTTGCTGTTCTACTCCATGCTTTTATTGAATCCAGTTACTCACATTATCAACATATACCATGCTCTCCTCACAGGAATCACCTAACAGTACCATCATTTTCAATCCAAGTGGTTGAGAATTTTGAATTATGAGTTTGTAGTTACAGTTTATGTAACACCTGTTCTCTCTATAGTGCTTTTCACCTAGGGTGTCACCGTGATGAACAGGAAGACCAAGACATGCCTACAGTACTGACTGGAAACATATTAAATAGTTTCTCAAGTTGACTATATCTGAACCCTTGAATTTTGAATGTAAGGAAGTATTTCAGAGAAATGGTATAAAGGCATTGATGTACTCTAATACAACTTTACAATAATATTTTCTATTTTTAAAGCCATATTGTAGAAGGAGACGTAATCTGCCTTTATATAAATTTGTTTGATTATATTCTTGCATTTTAATTTGTATACTGCATCATCCTACACTTGTCTTCATTTTCCCCTTGGAACCAGAATTAATTCAACTGCCTCTGAAATATTTAAGAAAAATGGTTATATTCACTGCAGCTCATATCAAAGTATTAACACAGAATACCACAGTTTTATGATCTCCATAACCAAGTAGACTGAAACCCAACATCAGTGTTCCTGATTAGAAATGAAGTTCTTTCTTCAGAACAGTCTGTTTCCTGCATTCTCTACATTCAGGCATCAGTGAATGTTTCATCTCTGACCCTTTGTCTCTGTCACACAAAGTTGATATCCACAGGCAGATGCTGGTCTGGATATATGTTTTTCTTATTTGTTGATGAATAAGACACTGTTTGACCAATAGAGCAAGGAAGATAGATGGGACTAGGAATCTAAGAGAACTCTGGGAAAGTTAGGCAGAGAGAGATCACAGAAAGATGCCATACAAGACCTGATGTTATACCTCAAGGAACTACACAGTCCTGGCAGAAGGGTAAGGATGCAATTCCTCATATAGGAGTAAGATTTGGACCTCAGCATACTTTGCCTGAATCATGTGTCCTCAGCCACCTTTTTCTTCAGATGTACTAGGTCCGTATTTAAAGACATCCACTGCTCTTGAATATGCAAATCATGTAAGTCTATGGTTGTAAATACAGGGATGTCCACATCACCAACAACATATGTTCAGTGTCCTTGTACAGTCACGTAGTGCACAGGTCCTCAGCATGGGATGGAGCTGCATTATTTTCTTCCTGGTATCAGTAATTACAGGTAAGTTATTTCCAATTCCAAACATGAGAAAGAGTCAGGGACTAAGGTGACAGTGATGTCCACTCTGCATTTCTCTTCACAGGTGTTCATTCCCAGGTCCAGATGCAGCAGTCTGGTCATGAACTGGGGAAACCTGGGGCCTCAGTGAAGCTGTCCTGCAAGACTTCAGGCTACACTTTCACAAGTTACTATATTTCCTGGGTGAAGCAGAAGCCTGGAGAAAGCCTGCAGTGGATTGGAAGGGTTTATGGTGGAAATGGTGGTACTAGCTACAATCAGAAGTTCCAGGGCAAGGCCACACTGACTGTAGATAAATCCTCCAGCACAGCCTACATGGAGCTTAGCAGCCTGACATCTGAGGACTCTGCAGTCTACTACTGTGCAAGAGACACAGTGTTGAAACCACATCCCGAGTGTGTCAGAAACCGTGGAGGAGCAGGAAGCTACCCTGGGGCTGAGATAAAAGAGAAGATAATCCTGGGAGTTTACTCAGAAGTATTCAATCTGAGTGTCCCTTTGTCACTTTGCACATTCCTACCAGTTTCTCACATGAGTTGATTCTGATTTAGGATATCTCAGTGTACACCATACCTTGACAATCTGTTCACCAGTGACTACATCTCTCTGTCACAGAATAAGAGGAAAATTGACCTGGAATAGGAGAGAGACTCAGGGAGGGAGAGAGAAAGAGAGAGAGAGAGAGATAGAGACAGAGACAGAGAGACAGAGACAGTGAAACAGAGAGACAGAGACAGAGAGAGATGTCTAAGGACATGTACTTCCACGCATGAGGAATCTTGTCTAAGTACTGTCCTTTCCTCCACCAACTGGAGGACAGGAAATAAATTGACTTACAGCATGCATTTGCTGGTTTCTACTTACTTCTCCATGTAATACATTTTATATAGTTGTTCACCAATCTGTGAGTACTAAGGTGCTGCCTCCTCGCTCTGTTGAATCTGTATCTGAATGTGCCATATTGATATGGGCACTACAGTTGAGGTGAAGACTTACTGTGTTTCTCTGACCTCAGGTTCTCTGCTCCAGGTGTATCCTGATGAAGGCAGAAAAGATCCTTCTCTGTCCTGTTATTATTTTATTAAATTGGCAACTTCTAGAGTTGAATCCTACTGTATTCAAGGGGTAGGCTCTTTTTTGGAGGAACACTAAAAGTAATATAGGCACAATATGAAATCCATCTCTAAAACATTCAATCAGCATCTCACATTAAAAAGACATTCATCCCTACACCTGACCTCTTTGAGCACTTAAGTTGCAGGTATGTGTGACTACACAAGGCACTGTGCAGCTTCAGTGTAAGCAATGGCACACCCACCTTCATGGGTGATCCTAAACAGCAGGAGGCGCAATGGAGACAGGAACACCAGTAGAGAGATGAAGTTGATATGGAGGGTGATGGGGGAAGTCCTGTGTATATTTCAATAATGCACTGTTGGCCAACTGGGAAGCAAGATAGGTGGGACTAGGAGTCCAGGAGGAGTCTGGGTAGGAGAAACATAGAAAATCAAGATGTATCTGTCATAGGGACAAGAAGCTCAGAAACTTCTCTGGAGGGTAATCTTTATCCTCTGTGTTTTCCTTTCTTGAGTCTACTAGCTGACCTGCACCTGATATGATTGATGTGTGATGCTTACATTCTCCATTTGAGTATAGATTATTTTTTAAACACTTCACAGGTTTTTATGTTCTTGTATATTTTAATCAGTTTTTATATATTTTATGATGCAACTGAAGAAAATTAATACAAGTTATTCTGGTCATTGATAGTCCTTTTCCAATGCCTTCTAGATATTTCCTATCTCCCCATTCAGCGAACATCCCACCATTTCTTTCTATTTGTAGAAAGCAAGGGAGTGAAAAACGAGAAGGGTCAAAACATCAGGCATTAAAAACACTAAGAAAATAAGGATGCCACATACACAATACCCATAAAATCACACAACTATGCAACCATAAGATACAGGCAAAAGTGCAGTAACATGTAAAGGAAATGCACAAACAATGTGTTATGTGTGAATATATCATTAAAAAGTATCATAAAGTTAAATTTCCATTAATTATTTACTGTTGCACTTGTGCCCACCCTTAAATGGGTTAATATGCCCAAAGAGACTGGAGAACAATAGATATTCCTTTGCAAGCAAGGGTCAGTTGTAGAACTTCCTAGTTAGGGATGACTGCCTGTGTCAATGGCCCTCCATCAACACTGAGAACCCATATGGCTTGACTTGTCTCAGGCTCTCTGCAGGTTTTCACAGTCTCTGTAAGTTCATTATGCATGAGTCAGTCCTGTTGTGTGAAGAAGACACTGTCTCCTTGGGGTCATCCAACTCTTCTGGCTCTTACAATCTATTCAGTTTCAAAATTCTATCTTGGAAACAAGATTTATCCATGGATTTGTTGTGGGCAACTAAAATCAATGGCAAAACGTTGTCATCACCCGTGGCGCCTCTTGGACCTTGACCTATAGGGAGTTATCATGTGTCCTTAACAGTGGTGTTCAATTAATAACTCAGGTCTTCTGTGAGCAGCACTGTCCATCCAAGCAGGTACATCTGTTCAAATACTTAGAATTTAATACAAAATATAAATCTCATTCACTTTCTTTAAACTCATCTTTCTCCAGGTGTTTCTCTCACATAACCATAGAGCTCGATCAGAATAAGTGTTGAGACAATATTAATAAGTACATGATCAGTTTACCTAGGTCTCACTAATTTTTCATAGAATTTTCTTAAATCCATTAATTTTGATAACAATACTATACCACCAGATTCATTAAAACACACCAAAATCTGAACACAAAAAATTTACCTCAACAAGATAAGCTCTCAAATACTAAACTATGGGTCTATGAACATTTGCTGATTTCCAAAGGTTTTCTTTTAAAAACAGCATCATAATTTAGGTTTCTCTTACTTTTGATCACTCATCACTCACAGTGACCCTGCTTTGATTTGTTTTGCTATATGGAATCTATGTCCTCTAAAGATATATGACTATTTATGTTTCAGCGTAAGTTTTTCAATATGGACTTAAATATAAATATATATATATATACATATACATGTATGTATATTAATTTATTTAGCAATTCTCTGTTCCATCTCTGTCTGCTAATCCTAATTCCTTCCCATTTTGCCCTGATGCCCCATGTTTTCTTCCAATCCTCTTCATTCGAGTACAGTCCTCCAATGGATATCATCCAAACATGTCATGTCAAATTGAAGTTACAACTTGAGGAAAATGTCCGCAAAAGTCATGGGACCATGCAGAGACAGACCCTGCTCCCACTTTTAGGAGTCCCGCAAGAAGACGCTATTGCCCATCAGGCACTTATTTGCAGAGGCCTTTTGTCAATCCCATGCAAGCTCTGTGGTTTTTAGTGAAGTCACTGTGTGCTAGATGATTCGTTGGTTTTTTTTATAGTGGTCTAGGGCCTTCAATTGCCTATAAATTTTTCTTCCCCTTCTTCTTCAGAATTCCCAAATTTGTCTAACGTTTGGCTGTTGGTCTCTTTATGTGTTTCATATAATATATCAGATTCTGGATAAAGTCTCTCTGATGACAGATGGGCTAGGCACCAATCTAAGAGTACAGCAGAAGATTATTAGGAATCATTTCGATGATTTTTTCCAGTCATATTTTAGATCTATCCTAGGTCTCTCAACTATCCACCCTCTGGGTCCTGGCACTTCTTGCAATCTCAGAGATGGGCTCCTTCTCTTGGCATGGGTCTCAAACTGTATCAGTCATTGTTTGACCACTCCTTCAATATCTGTGCCACCTATAATCTGGCACATTTTGTAGCAGGAAAAATTGTAGATTGAGATCTTGTGAATGGGTTGGTGTCCAGTCTGCCCACTGAAAGCCTTACCTGATTACAGGAGATTGACTGTTCATGTTCTGTATGCCCCATTGCTAGTTTGATTTGGTAATTTCTGCTATCTAAACCTCTTTTTTTCTAGAGCTCTCAGGAGGACTCTCAAGTCGTTGTATGAGAATTGTCTAATTTCTTTTTTCAGGAAAGTAGTTCTATGAACTTTCTTCTTACTACTCCTTTCATAGCAGTGTCCCAGAATTTTGGGTATGTTGTGCATTCATTGTAGTTGAATGCTAGGAGGGCTCTCCTTTCTTCCTTTCTCTCTCTCTCTCTCTCTCTCTCTCTCTCTCTCTCTCTCCTTTCTTTCCTTCTTTCTTTCTTTTTTCTTTCTTTCTCTCTTTCTTGTTTCTTCTTTCTTTCTTTCTTTCTTTCTTTCTTTCTTTCTTTCTTTCTTTCTTTCTTTCTTTCTTTCTGCTTTACCCAGTAGTCATTAAGGAGGGAACTGTTATTTTCTATGAGTTTGTAGTCTTTCTGTTTTTTCTGTTTTTGTTGATATCAAACTTTTGTCCATGGTGGTCTGGTCGATCAAACAGAGGAACTTTAATTTTCCTGTTGCTGTTAATACTAGCATTGTAATTGAGTATTTGAAACAGATACAAAGACAGACCAGCAAGGGAGGTCACCACATCCATTTGAGTTTTCTTCCTTCTGCTGATCCACATATAACTGTATATATGTGAAACCTGTGAGGAAATCAATTTGTTCATCAAATGGCTCAAAGCAGAAGTCTCTTCAGGTCATCATCTCACTGCATTTAGTTGCTTTAAATGAAGTCACATTCATGTTACGGTTTCTTGATCAGGATCCTCTCTGATCGCAGGTGTCCACTCTGAGGTGCAGCTGTTTGAGTCTGTTGGAGGATAAGTGAAGCCTGAGGGGTCCCTGAAACTGTCCTGTGTGGCCTCTGGATTCACCATCACTGTACATACCATGTTTTGGATCTGCAAGCATACAGGGAAGGGGCTGGAGTGGGTTGCTATAACTATGTAACCTCGTACACGAATTCAGTTAAAGACAGATTCACTTACTCCAGAGATGATTCCCAAAGCATAGCCTACCTGCATATGAACAACCTAAGAACTGATGACAGGGCCACCTATTACTGTTCTGTGGACACGGTGATGAATCTTCAGTGTGAGCCCAGGAAAAACCTCCCTGCCAGCATCCCATAGCTAGCAGGGTGTTGCTGAGCACACGTAAAGCCTGGGAATAGAAATATTTCAGATTTTTTCTTTTATCTGTTTGCCTTCTCCCTCTACCAGTTTTCTGGAATTCTCTTTACTATAATAGACTCTGGGAATTGATCATGCCTCTCAAAATAGACAAATGCTGTTTGTATTCAGTTTTGAACATATAGATTCCCTATTCCTACCTGAACAATATGCAGAAAGTATCTATGGGAGCAAATTCTCTGAGGTCACCATGACCAGCTAATGGCGAACCTCAGGAACTTTAGAATTTCCTCTCCAGGAGAAATATGAATACTATGAATTGGTGGATGTTACCATCCTAGTAATACCTTTTGATAAGTGTAAGTATTCTTCTATGCGACTGTATGCTGAATTAAAATTCTCACCCAATTATATATTGGTGCTTAGGTCAAATGACGTCAGAGATGCTTCATCAAGCAACTTGTGGAAACACATGTAGACCCACTGAGCATCTCAGAAAACAGATGGATAAAGAAATGTAGGAGTCAGAGTGGTAAAAGACCTAGCAAAAATACTCACAGAATCAACTTAACTAGCATGATAGGGGTTCACAGAGTCTGAACTGAGACCAGTTATCCTGCACAGAAATATAAGGCCCACTGCATATTTGTTAGAGCTGCGTGGCTTGTTCTTCTTGTGGGACTACTAGCAGTGTGAGCATGGGCTGCTTCAAACTATTTTACTGGCTTTTGTGACGATACTCACCATGCTGTGTCTCCTCATCCAGTCATAATACATGTGGAACATGATTAGTCTTACTGAAACTCGATATGCTAAGTTTTGTTGATTCTCTGTCCTTTCCTG